TCCCGATGACTTTCCAGGGTCTCTCCCTCCTGAGCGAGCGATGGGGGCGGGTCGGAGTCCTGGGGGCCGGGAGCGGCTGGGCTGGGGCTCTGCTAGTGACACTGGTGGTGCTGAGAACCCACCCGGCTCATTGCACGGAGCCCCCAAGTGAGTAGAGACCCCAGCGCCCCGGGGAGCCCCGTCCTGGGCAGCGCTGGGTGTATCCGGGGGGGATCAGACCCCAGCGCCCCGGGGAGCCCCGTCCTGGGCAGTGCTGGGTGTATCCGGGGGAATCAGACCCCAGCGCCTCAGGGAGCCCCGTTCTGCTTTTTCCTGTTTCCCCCACTCAGTGTCTCCCCCCATTCTCTGCCCTGCTTCCCCCCGCCAACTGGGCTCACTATTACTGTCACTCCCCGCGCCCCGCATGTTCCTGCCCACCTGCTGGGCACTGGGGAGACGGTGGGTTCCTTGTGGCTCCCTCTGGGGGGCTCTGGCTGTCCCTCCTTCCCTCCCCCCATTGGGCTATGAGCCCCAGGGGCAGGATGGGGAAGGGCAGGTGTGGGGGGGTCCTCAGGTGCTGGAACTGGGGGGGCTGCTGCACCCCCTGGTTTGAAGTGGATCCCACCATACCCATGGTTCACAGTTTGGTTCAATGGCTCTCAGCCCCCCCTCCACCCCCCGTACCACATGGGTCCAGCGCCATCCGGAGGGTCCCTGAGCTGAGCCTGTCTGCCCCCGCAGGGCAGTTCGTGTACCAGCGCAAGTCTGAGTGTCACTTCACCAATGGTACCAAGTGGTTCTGGTACCTGGACCGGTACATCTGGAACCAGCAGCCGTACCTGCACTTCGACAGCGACCTGGGGCGGTTCGTGGCGGACACGGAGCTGGGCCGGCCGATTGCCGAGTACTGGAACAGCCGGCCCGAGATCCTGGCGGCCGAACGGGCTGAGGTGGACACGTTCTGCCGGCACAACTACGGAGTGGAGGCGCCTTTCACCGTGGGCAGGAGAGGTGAGTGCCGGGGGTGGGGGTGGTGTTTGCACTCTGTCTCCCCTCCCCCCGTTATCTACATGGTCCCGCTCTGTGCGGGAGGGGGGGACTGAGCTGCTCCTGTGCTGGGGGGGCACTGAAGGAGGGGGCGGAGCTAGGGTGTGACGCAGTAGGGAGTGGGGTGGATTGACCTGGGAATGTTGTTTAGTTTTACTGGGACTGTCTGCATGGGGGATGGGAGAGCAGGGGGTGACTTTAGGTGAGGGACTATACCTGAGCCTGTAACCTGAGCCCGGAGGGGGGTGGGGCCAGGTGACACCTTTGCCCGGGAGACTGGACAAAGGGAGAGGGGGAGAGAAGGAGGGAGAGAGCGGCTGGAGGGGTTTTGGAGTAGCAGCCGTGTTAGTCTGTATCCGCAAAAAGAACAGGAGGACTTGTGGCACCTTAGAGACTAACAAATTTATTAGAGCATAAGCTTTCGTGGGCTACTGCCCACTTCTTCGGAGGGGTTTTGGTTTCAGTTTTGGGCTGGCTGGGAAGGCTCAGGGAACCCCAAGTCTGGGGTCTAAGATCCTTGCCCCCCAGAGAGACCTGGCGGAGGGGTCTTGGTTGTACCTACAAGCCCTGCTTGGGACCGTGTTCCTGTCGTCTAACAAGCCTTCTGTGTTACTGGCTGGCTGACAGTAATCGCAGGAAGTGGGGGGTGCAGGGCCCTGACTCCCCCACACTCTGTGACATAGGGTATGGGGTAATTGGCAAGGGGCGAGGCACAGAGAATGGGGAGAGGCGGGGGCCGGGATCACCCAGCAGCAGGAGGGGGAGGGAACCCAGTGCTGGGGCGGGGTAACGGGGGAGGGCATCTCCTCCTCTCCCCCTCACCGCCCCCGGGTCTGGCTGCAGCGCCCCCTGTCGGCAGAGCGCAGACCCCCACACCCGGGTCAGTCTCTGGGGAGAGGGGTGTTGACTAGGGTTACCATGTTTAAAAAATAAAAAAAGACGACACTCCACGGGCCCTAGCCCCGCCCCTTTCCCAACCCCGGCTCCGCCCCAACTCCGCCCATTCCCCACCCCAACTCCGCCCATTCCCCGCCCCTTCCCCAAAGTCTCCGCCCTAACTCCCCCTCCTCCCTCCCAGCCACACGAAAAGGGCTGCCCCAGCGCTACCAGCTTCAGGGTTTGCCGGGCAGCCCCCAGACCCTGCGCCCCCGGCCGGCGCTTCCCCAGCGCAGCTGGAGCCCGGGAGGGGAAGTGCCCGGCTGGGGGCGCAGGGTCCGGAGGCATGGGGGCTGCCTGAAGCCCATAGCGCTCGGGCAGCTCGGCTCTTAAACAGAGCCGAAGTCTGAGTGAGGGGAGGAGCAGAGCAGCCGTGGGAGGGGACGTGCCCGGCCGGCATTTTTCCCGGACATGTTCGGCTTTTTTGGCAATTTCCCCCCGGACGGGGG